TGCTACAATTTCTGACAACAATATATAATATGCATTGTTTTACAATCAGATTTATTCTTCCCGGATTTATACCCGTTGGATACTAATTTTATACATTTTTATTTTTTGTCTTTGTTCTAAAATTTCAAGTTGGATACCAAGTGTATATAAATTGGATAAAACATTAACTTGTTTTAGATTGTCTAATTTGGTTGAAATATCAGTTATATTTTATTTATTTTTCATTTTCAAGTGGGATATCTGTTGGATACCAATTGAATACAACATTAACTTGTTTAGGTTGTATAATTTGATTGAAATCTCAACCACATGTTGATTTTTCAATTTTCCAATGGGTATCAATTCAATACTAAATTTTTACAAATTGGATACAATATTAACTAGTTTTACGTTGGCTATTTTAGTTGAAATCTCAATTACATGTTTAGTTGAAATCTCAATTACATTATCCATTGCTATATTCTTCAAAGTTATGCACAATGGATATTTAGTAAAGAAATCTAAATTAACTTTCTTTTAATCTAAAAAAACCTGCAACCAACATCATTGTGGATTCTAACAGGTGGACATCTATCATTTACTAAATCTTTTATCTCTAAATCATTTATATTAGTCTCTATCATAAGCTGCGATGTTATCGCACATACTAGACCACTATAAAGACTAGAAGAATCGTATATAACCCCCTCCGTTTAAAAATCGACATAATTCCCTGTTTCATTAAAAAAAATAAAAAATTAGTCTCACATTATAAACAAACAATTCGAAATACAAATATCATTCAGACAGACAGACAGAACATTACAAAACAATTTTTATATTCAATCAAAAAACATTTCATACAAATATCATTCAAATAGTACATTCCAAACACGTTCATACTATTTTAATACAAATTTCATATAGCAAATATGTACATTTTTTTACGAAAATACTTCATTAATGTCACACAAATTTATACAAAAATGTCAACAATAAAATTTCAAAATTAATACAACCTTAAAACACTTATCATACAATTCGTCAAAATTTCTAATAACTTTTTTTTTTCAGATTACTGGACACGCTTTCATACAAATTTCATACTTTCTTAATATACATTTCATACATATATCATTAAGACAACTTATTTCATAACAACTTTCAAACTCACTTAATACACATTTCATACAACAAATAATCATACATTACAAATATCTATATCTTATCGTACCAAATAATTCATTTCTAACTCACTAATTACTTCAGAAATGACAACATCTTTAAGAAAAAAAATACACAAAACAATCACAAATTCATAAAATCAGTAATATTATACATTTCACAACAGTTAACAAGTAATGATATAGAGACGATTTACAGTTTAA